AATCTGCCTGGGTAGACAAGATAAAAAACAGGACAAACGTCACCCTGAAAGACAAGGCTGTCGGTAAATAGCAGGTGAGCACATACAGCAGAAAATTCACCCTCAAAGATATAAATGGTCTTTGAAAAATGTAAGTTTGACAATGACAGATTATTACTAGACTTATTAGGATGATCACTTCCCAAGGTATTCAAATGTTGAATCACTATGTTGTACACCTGGAACTAACATACAATTGTATGTCAACTATAATTAAAAATAAATTTAAAATTTTTTATATGTGCACTTTGGGATGGAAAATAACACAGCTTACACTGACTGGTGTGGCTCAGTTGGTTGGGAGTCGTATCACAAAGCAAAGGGTTGTAGGTTCAGTTCCCAGTCAGGGCACATGCCTGGGTTGCGGGTTTGGTTCCTAGTCTGGGTGTGTGCGAGAGGCAGCTGATTGATGTTTCTCTCTCACATCGATGTTTCTCTCCCTCTCTTTCTCCCTCCCTTCCCATGTCTCAAAAAAAGAAAGAAAATCTAAAAAAAAACAAACAAACAAGAAAGAAATTAATACAGCTTTAGTGGCAGCTAATGAATGACAAATATAGGGACTCAACTAAAGCAAAAGGAGGACCTTAGCCAATAACCCACCCTTGATCGCCTGGATGTGGAAGTGTTGATAACTTTAGTTGATGCATTGAGGCCACAGTGAGATGAGCAGTTAGGGAGATGAGATGCTGACACTTGAATTTAACATTCCACGAACTCAAAAATGTGGCGATGTTGCCTGTCAGTCCTGAGTCTGGCTGAGAAATGAATCTCCATGCAGGTCACAGTCATAATTATGGGATGAATCAAAGCATTAGAACCACTGAAGTGCTGGAACTGAAAGCCCATTGTGTCCCTTCAGCAGTAGCCAAGCATGGAGAATCTCCACCGAATCTCTTTAAGTGAATATTAGAGATTTGCTGTCCCTACTTCCTCACCACCTACTTCGTACCTCTTGAAATCAGCCCCTCTCGATCACTGTCAGTGGTCTCCTGGTCATGTTGGTGCCCCCGATGCCTGGCAGAGTGTGTGGCAGAGGGTTCTGAATGTTTGCTGAGATGAACCAATTATTTACCTTGATGGCTTTCTAAGTTCTGTTCCCTTTGGCCTCCCTGGCGCATGACATTAATATTGACTTGGCCTAGAAATACCTTTTCCCACCACACTCCATGACTCTTCAATTCTCTCTCCTTCACCCCTTTACTGCCCTTCCTGTCTTAGGCTGTCCCTTCATGGATAATTTTCCTGCCCCTACTTTCCCCTCTGCTCCCCACATGTGGTTACAACCCAAAGCTCAAACCTTCTCTCCCTCCTCACTCCACACTTTAGATACCCAGGAAATGACAATAATGATTTGTATAGTAGTAGTAGTGATAAATTATCTGCTGTGTATTAGGAACTTTACTCATTATCTTATCTAATCCCACAAAAATCTCCTTACTCTACATGAGTGAGAGAGCTGCAGAAGTTAAATGAGTTACTCGAAGACACGTGACTAGCAAGTAGCAGAGCTGGAGATGTGCCCAGGACTTACTCTGCTGAAGGTCCAGATGACTTCAAAATAAAAACACATAAACATTTAAAATGAAAAGCACATGGAGATGAAAATTTAGAAAAACAAATGGGACTATGCTGCTTCCTAGCTGCATTATCGGTCTACCCTCTCCCCGTTGTGTGAGGGCTGTCACTGCTCCCTCTTGACATGTCCCTGTTGGTGACCCAGCTCAACTTCAGACTCACCTTGTCTAAAACTGCTCATCACCTTTTCTGAAAAATCTGTTCCTGTCACTCTTTCCTCACTGTCACCATCACTCTCAGAGTCATGGAAGCTCAAACCCAGCAATCACTAGTGACTCTTTCTTCCCCTCCTTATGTATAGCACCTTCTTTCATCCTTCACTCCCTCCCTCTCCATTTCTGCAGTGACTACTCAAACCCCTGTTCTTGCCTTTCTCAGTTGATGATGACCATCGTCTTCCAACTGGTCTTCCCGTCCCTCACCACCTTTCTCCCGGAACCCACCCTGCAGTCTACCACAAGGTTAAGTTCCCTAAGATGAAGTTTGCATTTGTGGCTCTCAAATACAAGTCCTTCAGTAGCTCTTTTTCAGAGGTAAAGTCCATACTCTTTGTCTGATTTTTAAAGCCTTGAACAGTCTGGTGTTTGCCCTGGTATCTTAAACTTAATCTCCTACCTCACATCAGCTGGGATTTTCTGCTTCTATGAAGATGGTCTCCTCAATGGTTTAAGTCAAGCTTAGGAGCCTTAATGAGAGTGACCACATCACTTATTGTCAAAGTGGAACCTCTTTGAAAGTGAGAGGGGGCGCTATTGAGAATTGAGCCAGCATAAACCAAGACTGTCCTGGATTAACTGGGGTTTATGGCCGCCATATTCTTAACGTGCCCTCCCCATCTACTTACAGGCCACAGACCAGCTGCTACTGGGTTTATCCCAAGGTTTCTAGCAGCCATGGCTCTCCTCTCAGTCTCCTGCTCTAAGTCTGACAGCTGGGGATCTTCACCTTTGACAAGCCCCTTCAGGTTGATACCCTCAGGTTAGGCTGGCTGTTTAGCTTGCAATTTGGCGTTCTCCCTGTGAGTCTTCCTGACCTACCAGCTCCCAGAAGCAAGGCTTGTCCCTCCTAGCCCAGCCTCAGCCCCCAAACTTTAAGAGCACTGCCACCTCCACACCATCACTGTCCCTCGTGTCTCCCCTTGCCTTAGAGATCTGTCCAATTGTTACCCTTCCTTCCTTGCCCAGATCTTCCCCACCCTAGCCACTAGCATGTCCCTCTTCTTCGGCCTTCTGTAGCCTCTATTACCTCTACCATTTGCTTTGCACTCAGTACAACCCCACTGAGCAGCAGCTGACCTTTTGAGAATTAGTTCAGTCTCTCTAACCAAGGTCACTGGCAACAAAGGTCCACTATCACTTAATCATCTCACTCCCAGCCTCTAACTGGTCAGTCTCTTGGTTGAGGAGGATGACAACAGGAACACCTGATGGATGAGACCTGGGTCATGCACAGCCCTTCCAACTCTACCACTCCTCTGCTCAATCGCCTCTCTGAGGAAAGGCAGACATTCTTAGATGCTGATAACAGCAGCAAAAGAAATACCATCTCTAATAAACATAGCCCACAACAGCTCCCTGGCAACCACAGCATCTACTTCATGATTGTTGCTCTCCAATAAATGTCAAATTCCAGAGGTTACAGCAAAACCCTTCGAGACACAAAGGTTCTCTACTACATAGGGACAATTAAGCAATTATTTGGCAACACTCAGGGAACTGGGTTCCTCACTGCCCTCCAGTTTCCTGAGGTGGAGGCAGCCCTCCTGCCCCAGCCATGGCCCTCATGGCCCCGTCCTACCTACTCACCATGGCCGGGCTCTCCCTGTCCCTTCCCTCACCCTGTTTCCTAAAGCTCACCCACTGGTCTCATTCTCAATGGTCTGGTGTCCTTCTGACCCTGTAGCACCCACAGTTTCTACTCATTTAACAACTGGTAAGGAGAAAAAAATATGTAAAACAAAATACATAGTATGACCTCATTTTGTCAAAGATTAACAAAATGTTTTGCAGTATATATTTACATGGGGGAAAAAGTCCAACAGATAATACAACAAATTATTAGTGATTGTCTCATCTGTTTAGGTTGAAAGTGTCTTACATAATAAAAATTAATGAAGCAAAAAACACAAGCTGGTGTTTCCTACGTTGTCTTCCTTCTGCCAGTGTTAGTGGATGTGGTCCCCGGCCCCCTATCGTGGTCACCACCAGCAGATTAAGGAAGAAAGATACCAGCTCTAATGCTCGGAAGACCAATTCCATCTGTGGGTCTCTAAGGAGGGGGGTTTTCACCCCATCAGTGCAAAGCAGCAAACCAACCAACCATGGTACTCTCCCCACTCACTTGCAAGGAGCAGGCCATCAGCTCCATTTTATGTTCTGTTCCCTTTTTCATCCACAGCTTTACCTAAAACCAAGGTGGCTGGATAATGTATATTCTATGTGCAAAAAAAAAATCATTCACTATTTTGTGGGAAGCAAGACGTAACAATGGGATATGGAAGAGAAGATGCAGGATTTAGGGTCAGAAAATGTTTATTCTAGTTCTGATATCAGTGGGCTGCTTTTCTTTCTTTTCCTTCCAGATTTTCTGCCTCGTAAGTTTTCAGTTCAGTTTATTGAACACCAACCATCAGCCAGGCACTGATTGTTCGTGGCAGGATGAGGCCGTGCCCTTGTAAAGGGCTTTGCAGACAAGCTGGGAGTTGCCAGCGGGGATTTGCTAGCCTGCTCTGCAGGTGTGAGGAGAGCCATTGTCCATCACTGAAGAAATCAGATGTCACCCCCCCACCCCCACCTCTCACCGGGTTGTGGAGTCACCCGAGTGGGACTCCACTCAACTGACTGCAAGTTCCGTTTACCACCCTTGGCACTCCTTAGCTGGGGCCTGTGTTTCAGGCTACTTTTTGTTTTCTCTGACCATGGTGTCTTATTAGGTATGGCTGGGCTTCTACACTTGGCAGTCACTTGGCCTGCCACTGACTGCAGCTCCAATAGTTAGCAGGAAGGCTGCCCAGGTCTTTGAGGCATGCCACCAGGTGAACTTCATGTATGTGACACAGCAGCTACGTTGAAGTCCCGAACATACCCGCCCATTATCAGTTGGTGAATATCCTCCCAGTCCTTTTCAAGGACTGCAGTAACAGGCAGTTTATACAAATGATCATAAGTTTGCCTTCTGCTGAGGACCCAGGATAAGAAAACGCTAACCCCAGCCATAACTGAAGTCTTTAAAGTTCCAGTTCGAACAACTAGAACTTTAAATGAGCACTTCGTTAAAACTCCAAGGAGAGTGATCAGATAGTGCAGGGGTTGGGGGTCATTGGGGAGGGCCTCCCTCTTCCTCCTTCCAGTGATTTCTCTTTAAGCAAGGCTAGAGGGAATACTCACCCACACACTTTTTCCCATCCTCCGCCAGGGTGTAGCCACGGTAGCACTGGCAGACAAAGGAGCCCAGCACATTCACACAGAGCTGCTCACAGCCGTGGTCCTCCGCTGCACACAGATCCTGGACTGAGACAAAATCACACCATCAGAACACAACGCTGAAGGAGGCGACCCTCAGGACAGGGCTGGGCAGCCAATAACCATATAGCACCTGCTAAAATACTTCTGAAAACATTGTAAGCATTGACATATGGTGATAGTGGAAAAGTTGGAAAACATAGAAAAATCTATAAAAGAAAATCCGTTAGCGCCCCACCTGTAATCCTACCACACAGGGGCAACTGCTGTGAACATTTTGGTGACTTGATATATATAGATATATATATATATATACACATACATATTTGAAAGTTGAAATCATTTGCCCTTACTAACTGCATTAAATAATTTAAAATTCACATCAGTTTTTATTTTCCTGTGTCATGAAAGTGCTCTGAAAACATTCTGAGTGAACTGTGAGTTATCGCAAGCAGGCATTGGCACTTGTCTGCATCAAATACCATTCCTGCTCTTTGAGAACCAGAATGCTTTGTAGTCGGTTTCAGAAATTTTTACAGCAGTAATCTGGCACTGTCTTTGACATTTTGCAGATAGGGAAGCTGAGAGAAAGGCCTAGAGGAAAGGCCTAGAGGAAAGGCCTGCTACTCCACCAAAAACATAGCAGGTCTAAGAATAGCCCCTAATTCCCAAGCCTGCATCAGCCTCATTAGATACCCTCCTCCTCATTCCATGTGTCTTATCAGAAGGATTTTTGAAAACTGTCTTTGCACTCTATGTATTTATCCCAGGAACAAATGAGGAAAATGAGAAGCCAGAGTTGGTTAGGAAGGTAACAAAGATTACTGGGGAGAAATGGGTGTATGGCTATTTGTGGTTGGTCCTATTTGGGTCAGATATTTATCCGATGTCCACAAAGTGCTGAGTCCTGGCTACTTATTCAAATGCAACATAAGAATGCACTACAGGGATGCATTTCAGGTAGTGGGACTGAGAATATATCAGAAGACGAAAAGGTTAAAGGCATTTTCAATCTATCACTGATTTGGTCTCTCCTTCGCAGAAACAGGCTGACATTTCACAGCAAGGAGAATGGCTTGGATTCATAACTAGCTCTTCCAGTAACTTTACCATTAAAGTTGGAGAAAAATCAGAGAGTATTAAAGGGATTGAATACATTAGAAATACTTTTCTCAAGTTAATATGTCAACTATAGTAAAAGCTCAATGAACTAGAAAGCTTGATTAATTCCTGAATTCAATAGCTATACTTTAATGTTATTACCCAGGTATCTGAGTTTTATAATTTATTATGCTTTTAGATATATAAAATACCAAATTGATAAAAAGATAAAAGCTGATTAATTCATCATCTATTAAATTCATGTATAATTAAAAAATAAATAAAATCTACACCATAGCATTAAAAATGCTTAAGTCTACACTTTGCCTCCTTGTACAACCAAAAGAAGAACAACGAAAAATGAAAAATTAAAAAAAATTAGACCTGCCAGAAAACAGAACTGTATGAAAGTCTGGCAACCAAGGAGTTAAAGAAGAAAGATTCATCCAGACAGGTAGAAGGAGCAGAGATGGGCTGTGGGGGTTGAGAGGACACGTGGCAAGGTGGTGGCTGGAGACTGGGAGGTCCCACATTTGCGTGCCGTTAAACTGCAAGAAGGACTGGGAGTGAGACAGATCACGCAATACAGGGTGCCGAAATGGAGGAGATCAGAACAGGCGTGGTAGCTGAATTTCACTCCAGGAAGTTCAAGGGCAGTAGCAGGAGGGACAATCAGAAGGATGATGGACGCCCGATGGCAGAGGGCCTGACTGTAGGCTGAGTGCTCTGAACTCCATTCAGCAGGCAGTGTGGACCACTCAAGGTCAATGCCTTAAAAAGGGAGATGGCTGATTTCACCTGAGTGATACTTTAGAAGATAAATCTCAAATATGACAGATGCTCTCAGCTCTGGGAAATGGAAAGGGTTACCATAAATAGTCAGCTAATAATCAATAAGAAAGGAAGCAAAGGGAATTGGACATTGTTAAGCATAATCAACCAGGGAGCATAAACCCATTTGTTCCACCAGGAAGCTGCAGATTCACATTCTCCATGGGATCCCAGCATTTCCCCCCTGCCTACCCTCAAAGAGGATTAACAGCAAATTAGGGGTGGGGGTGCAGGGGGAGGTAAGCATATGCACAACAGAAATCAAGATGGCACAGGGGGAGGTGTTCGACCATAGGAGCCTGTCAGTCTAATCTGGGAAACATGTCATTGGCTAGGGGGTGGACCCACCAGAAGCCCACAAAAGATTGGGAAGTTGATTGGGTATTTTTGAAAAAGCTCCTGGTCATAATCCCAGGGGAACAAAGGAAAGAGAGAGAGAGAAAGAGAGAATCTCATTCACCCAGGAGTGCACTTGCCTCTCTGTTCACACACTCTCTCTCACTGGAGGACACGCAACCATGTGGGTCTAGCAGCCAATCCAGGCCACAGCAGACCGCACAGGCTCCGAAGGACTAAGCTTTAACATGAAACAGAAACTCTGGAAGCTGGACTTTGTGTTGGCCTTGCTGAAGACAAGGTTGGACTTTTTCCATGGCAGGATGGACAAAGATGGGACACTGGAAATGCAGGGGGCAGCTTCTATTTCCACCCAAATAAATCTTGCCACACTACAATCTCCTGCGTTTGGGTCCATGAAATGCTTTTCTCGCAATCCTGTGGGATAAAGGGACTTTTCCCCGGCCACAAAAGGACTTCCAGCACAGTTTAGATACCATTGCTTTGTTGGGGAACAGCTGCAGTTTTCCGAATTGCAGGCTGAAGAGCTTTGGTTTGCTTGCACACTGATGGGAAAATTTACTTGCTGAAATGAGGACCTTCAACAGTTCCTCTGAGCTTTTGGCTTCTCCTACCAGCTGTCAGTGCACCGCTGTGCTTTTCCCTCTTGGCGTGTATCACAATGTTAATCACAGAGGCCTGCATGCAGGAATGTCTTCACTGTGCCTCCCTCGCTAGACTCTAAGCTCCATAAGTCGGGGTGGGGGGGAGCTTCCCTGCACAAAGTCTTGATGGCTGGAAAATGGTACACCAGCACACTAGAACAACCTACCCCCTCAAGCCCTAAGCCTATCTTTGGAGATCGGGCGGGCACAGGAGCTTCTCCACCGGGGTCCTCCCTCCCCTTTCTCTGCTCCAGCTGCTCCTTTGCACCCAGCCCCGCCCCTGTGTCCAGCAGGAACCTGCCTAACAGTGGTTAGGGAGGATTGGTGGGCGTACATGTGACTTTTAGTCTCTTAGGTATAACTCTTTTCAAATTTCCTAACAAGAGTTTGTAACAAGAACTTACATAACAATGAAAAAAAATCAATGCGTTGCAAAAGAACTCCTTCAAAATTAGCATTTCAAAAACAATAAACCAGGACCTTGAAGTGATGATCTTTTTTCCAAAAGACTTCCCCCCCGCTGGGTAGGTAGAGAGAGGCAATGAAATGCTTGTCCCTTTCAGGACAGGGCTGGACACCCACCTGGGAACAACTGCAAGGTTCCTCTACAGAAGCAGCAGTACCCAGCCCCCACTGCCCATTAGAACCATCTGGGGACCTTTTGAAAATTCTGATGCCAGCCTCCACCCCCTCCCTAAATCAGACTGATGGGGTGGGAGCAGGGAGGGATGCAGGCAGCTCCCAGATAACCCCCTTGCGTAGCCAGGTTGAAAGTCCTTGAACCTACTGGATAAAACATCCTCGCAATCCTCCGAGGGGAAGGCGCCCAGACCCAGAAGCCATTCCCCCTTACTTAGAAAGACTGCCAAGTTCAGTTTCCTCCTTTAACAAATCTTAGAATTATTGCTGTCCTCGGTCCCCTCGGACACTAGGTAGGGGTGCTAAGTGTGGTAGGGACAGGATTACGGCTTGAATTCCAGAAGAACAGTCCCACAAACAGCAAGCCTGCCAGCTGGCTTCATGGCTGTTGTCTTTTCATACTGTTTCTAGAACACTGGGGATTTATAGCCACTAATGGTCTGCACCGTCCCAAGGGAAACCGTTGAAGGATAAATTTAATTAAACAAAGACACGGGGATAAATACAGACTAGGCTCTGACAAAACAACTGTTGTTTTTTGGCAGCGGTCACTTCCATTTAAAACAAATACAGATGTTTGGGGATGATTCTTTATGCTTTTGAAAAACAGCACTTCTTTTTCTCACAGCCTGGGGGGGTTTCACTGCAGGGTGATAAAGCCATGGGGTGGGGTGGCAGAAGCACTGGACTCAGGGTGCCCATTACCCTTCCAAATCTTCTTTACCAGGTGGTCCCCAGTCATGGCTCATGGCTTCAGTCAGAAGTCACCTCCTCCAGGAAGCCTTTTCCAGGCCGGCTGGGTTCCTTCCTCTGACTCCCTAGCACCATACACATGGCTCCACCCTCGCTCTCCTGCATTTTCCCTGCGCTGTTGGAAGGACCTGAGCAGAAGCTGTCAGCGCCACGGGCACGCAACCTTGGTCTGCCTCAGTTTGGATTCCCCAGGGCCTAGCACCATGTCCTCGCGCATGGAGCTGGGGCTCCGTGACTGCTCATCTGCTGAATGAACAGTGGCAAAGGCCCTGCCCCCTGCCTCCCAACTCTAGGATGATCCTAGAGTCCTAAAAAATACTCTCTATCAGAAATGGCATCATGGGAAGATGACTGAGACGGGAACAAAACTCCTCGCTCTCCTCATCCCCAGCAAGAGGGATTCCCATACCAGACGAGGGCTCAGAGCACAGTGACAGCAGGAAGCATACCTAGCTAGCACAGACCGGCACAGTGCAGGTGTCCAACAAGTACTTGTGAGTGGACAGATGAACCCATGTCCACGTTACACAAACACAGCGTTGACCGGTGACCCTCCCTGACCAATCTTAACGAGGCTGTAAGCTCTGAGATGAGCAGGGTGGGTATTACTTTTCCTCAGGGTGCTGTGTTCCATACATTGGGTGTTTGGTGGACATTTGTTGATTTGACGTGACAGCCACCAGCCTATTAGAGTTCCGTGTCCCCCCACAACCTCCCTTACCA